AAGTGTTAACAATGAGAACAACGTTGACGGACTAAACAACCCCTAAACATTGCCACTTCATTATCATCATGAGTAAGGTAAAAAGGAAATTAATACTTAATTTACGGAAATGCAGGATACTACTTGTGGTAGTTTTTAGCCAATGGGTTTTCTCTGAAACACGATGTATGAGGGCGTACTTCAATTACGTCAGCTGTTAGACTTGTGTGTGTAACTATGTTTATTGACATGTACCAGTGACCTGTGGATCTGGGCATCTCCCTATTAGACACTAATTTCTGAGAATATTGAAGGTAGAAAGACTGACAAATCTGTGTGTTTTGTTTACATCCATTTTGTAGGAGTTTGAGCTGGCTAACATGTGATTTACTGACCAGGATTTTATTTACATACATGTGGTTTCAACAAATTAAAACAATATTTTGATTTGGAGAAATTTACCCTTACCCTAACATTGTTGTCTATTGAGATGTAATTAGTGGTATGAGTCCTACAAGACATCTTCCTCTCGTGAACATATCCTGGCTTTGTGCCAGACAATTGAATGACACAGGAAGAAGACACAGCAATAACGCTTATAGACTGAAATTATTTGTTGCAAAACTGGAATGCAAACTGACCAGCACATTACAATAGATTTTGTAGAAACCAGCCTATAGCTTACAAGGTACTAACCGTAAAAGTGGTAGAATAATAGAAATACATGACAACCACAACAACAGTGTTTACTTGGGGGAAGCAAGGGCAGTAGCTGGTACAGTTTTACCGTAAATAAATAGGGCTCTTTACAATTTACAAGGAAAAAAAGAAGTTTTTACAGTTTACAGTGAAAATTGAATTTTGCAGTGAATTGTGTCATCTAGTCGTTTTACAGTTTCGAAAATGTAATTTCCCTGGACTATTCTTTACGATTTTTTTTTTATTTGGATGTAAATTCTTGTACGTACCGAGAAAAATTACACATTTTTACAGTGTACGAAAGGAGAGCTTCCAGGGTGCCCAATCATGCTGGCTACTTCTGACAAATCCCATTGGGCAAATTATTCCGGGTAGATAGAAGTCAGTGGCCCCACAACCTGTATTTGTCTATTTAGACAAGATATGAATAATCAAATTAGTGGTAGTATCAACATAAACTGACCTATATAATATGCTTTTGTTTAATTATTTAATTAACTGACTTTCTTTTCTTCAACACCCAAATATTAATAATTTATAAATTACATATTTTCTGCTCCATTTTGAGAGATGGTCTATTAACAAACTGTTGACCCCCCCCCCCTACCCCATGAGCGTCACTAGCGCCCTCTATAGTTGATGTTGTAACAGAGTTACTGCTCTACTCACATGTGCCTTTCAGAAATGATACCAACCTAATTTGTAACTTTGCATGGTTCAATTTAACACAAACAACAACTATTGTAATTTAGAGTAAAAATTTATTCAACTGCATAAAATTCATAAGATTTGCTGAACCGCCCAGTTTTAAAACTAAATACAAGTCAGGCAGATCACATGAGCTATAAAAACGGAATCAAAATAATTTTAACAATAATGAGATTACATAGCTTGATTGATATTAAATACATCAAGAAATTTAAATGACCTGGATGTGCACTCTATCAAGTGCCAATTTCTTGGATAACAGTTGAAATAGCAAAAAAAAAAACTTTTAACTTTTACAGAAACTGTATATACATAATTATAAAATAAAAGCAGGCATTATTACTGCTTTGCTTGGTTTATCTCAGTAATAGTTACTGATAACCTAAGGAGTCACATTATGTGTAATGACAGAAAAACTAGGGACACTGAAATGAACAGAAGTAAGACTCAAAAACATGTATTTGATACTGTTATTTTTCATAATTACACTAAATTGGAAGTTTAAGTCACAGGACAATATCACATAAATCAGGTCATTACAGAATGATAAAGACCTGGTCTTTGGGACATTATATAAGATATCAAACTCCAGTTTACTTAAGTCAATACCAAATTTTAGAAGGTGAATATAGAAAGATACTCAAGACTTGACCTTAGGCCAATATGAAGTCTAATACGGATACAAAGTGTTTTTTCCTATGTAAATGAGGTCATTAATAAAAATATTGACATGATTTTAATATTTTATGGTTTATAGCAGCAGCTTTAAGCATACCATAAAACATCACACATTACAAGACTTTTCTCTGATGAAACCCATTTTAAAAATTCAATTTGTCTCACATTATAAATGGTACACATCTGATTAGCTAAAAAAAAAGTCACATGATATTCACAGAAAATATGATTGGGCAGCTTAGAAGGCATCATTGGCAGCATTTAATTGAATGCAGCAAAAAGATCAGTTTCATAATTAGCCAATGTCAAGTAAAAAGGAAAAACTTTTGAATACAAGTTCTTTTTCATAAAATATACCCCCCCCCCCGGGAGAAATAGAATATTCCTCAGTATTCTTTACTGTATGCCAAAATGTAATGGTACAACATGTATAAGTTTTGTATTTTTCAATATATTTCAAAGTAGTTATAATTTATTAAACCTTCCCACAATGCACTATGTTTTTAGTACCAATTTGGTTACAGCAATTTTAATATGCATAATTAGAATTTTTTAGGACACAAAAAACATCCTAAATCAAATCATTCTGATTTTCTGCTGAACGGGACGGAACACAGGTAGCTGAGCAACAGAATGCATCATGGGAACCAGTATTGGACAGCTTGGTTAGCATGTACATACTTCCATTACAAGGCTTATTTCCAAAGTTGGTAAGTTTAAATGTCATAATGATGCAGGTATGGTGTACTGTGATAAGATCTTGTAAAAACTTATACGAAATATATTCTTATACTCTGAAATGTGTCATGAAGACAATGAAACAAGACAAATAAATAGAGATAAGTATATTTTCAAAATCTGCAAATTTTCTCCACTATTTCTGGAGTTGAAAATGTTCAATGGTTTATCGTATGTAATAATATGATAAGGTGCATTGAACATTGAATTAACAAATGATCTGGGTAACAATCTTCGGGCATAGTAGATGATGCTCATTTGTTATTTACTGATCTTGAAGTGGCGCTGTTGTCATAACTACGCATGTGTATGTAATGCTCAATAAAATATTTACCTAATATCGATTAATTTTCAGAGAGCTAGTTTATACTAAAATGCATTTACAAGCAAACTAATAAATACACAATATTAAAAAAATGATTATTCATTGGAGTGATCAAGTTTTGATTTGATAGATACTGTAGAATAATTTATTTTCGCTTGAAATTAATTTTTGCTGAAGGAATGACTCAGTGAAAATAAAATCCAGCGAATATACCTTTTCCCTATATTTTATATTCAACTCGTCAGAAATCAGTGAAAATAAATTCCATACAAAACACCCAAAATGTCTTTTCAGCGAAAATTAATTCCAGCTAAAATAAAGTATTTTACAGTAATATACTGGGTACTAGTTATGACTATGATCATATATATATATGTCATATTGTGTTTACATGAAATGCATAGCGTACAACAGTGGAGGTGCAGACCAATGAAAATACAGAAGAATAATAATAGAACACATATATGCATAGTTCTGACGACCGTGTCCTTTCTCAAAGTAAAAAACAAGGAAAGTATATGAAAGTACCGTTGAATACTCAAACAGTATTTTAATTTGTTACATGCAACTCATTTTTACTAATGACTATTGAGTTGTGTGAAAAAAATATTGAGGAACTGGATTTATAACTTTAGCATATAGAAATTGAAAGCGCAAATAAAAGCATCTACACTAGCCAAGCCTAACAAATATCCACGCGGTATTGGAAGAACTTGCTAAAAAAATTCTCTTGTATAAAACAATTTCATGATTCTTTGGGAGTATTAAATAACAGATACTCCTCAATAATTAAATACTCATAAAAACAAAAAAACTTCAAACAATAATTTTTTATGTTATTATTTTGGTATATCAATTGAACAATGGGAATACTTGGTGGCTACAAACTCCACAATAGATATATATATTTACAATGAACAGCCTGACCTTAAACTGACCCCTATTTGCATAAATACTTAAGGTCAAAGGTCAACACACTATTAAAAATAATAATAAAAACATCACAGATACAAAATATGTTGTATTCTAAGCAGATTTAAGATTGACATAGCAAGCATTTTCAAGTAAGAAAATAATATGTTCTTGACTATGCAAACCTTACTCCCAAGATAATATATATTGTTTATATATTTAAAAAAAAAAGAAGACATAACAAACAAATAAAAAAAAACAGAAGCTTGGAGTACCAGTCAATATAAGACAAAACCACTCCATGTACTAAAGATGAACTCACTGCTTATCCTCTATAGTGTAGTAAGTACATTGTCTTTTTTGTTTATTTCCTCTCAGCTGCTTTCTGGTTGGCATGGCAACAGAGACGGGGGTTATTGCAAGAGTAAAATATGTTCAAATCTCATAGCTGCACAAAATATTGTTCATTTTCTTTTCACAGAAATCCGGTTTCTGTCGCGTCAGTGATCTTGCTTTGCATACGTAGATACAAAATAAGAATGGATATCAAATCCAAACATACCCCCATAATATCATTCAGTTTTTCTTGTAAAAAAAAGACCAAAATTATATAAAAACTTTACTGAATTACGTAAGTATACAATATTTTTCACACACATACTTCATAAGAATAAATAGTTTTTTTTTTCATATAGCCTACGACTTTTTCACATTTTTTATATTAAATGTAGCACTTTCTATGATTTAAAAAACCCTGTTCTTAAAAAAACAACTGTTTTGCATCTTTTTTGTAAATTTTCTCCAAATAATTTAAAGCACTTTCTTAATATTTCACTTTCTTCATTATTTAATTTAAAACATTATTGACAACATTTTTTGTTCCTAGTTCCTCATGACGCCAATATGCCCACCATTTTGTTTCTCTACCATCATAACATGTCACCATGGTGATCTAATGGTGCTACCAGCATGGACCTGCGCTGTGCTGCTGAGGCGACTGGTCAAGAATGGAGGAGGTATTGCCAAGAAATGGTTTTCTGTGATTTTTATTGAGATCTACAGTAAAAAAAATAAATTGAAATGATTAGTCAAGAAAACAAGATACAGATTAGGAAAATAAGTATATCAAGTGTTGAATATTCCCAGTAGTCATTGCAGCAAAATGTCAACAGATTACACAAATCTGTATGTGTTGCTCAATAAATCCCCCTTACAGTATTATTTACAAAAAGTTAGGGAGTACATGTCAGGTCAGCTAATGTAATTCCTCATATTCACTCATTAAGACCCTCTAGGTTACTGCTAATGAATAGTGTACTATGCCATTTTTGAAATGTCTATAAATTTCTGTTTGAGAATACATATCGCATATTATTTGAAAAACGATGATATATTAATGGTAACATTCACACAGTGAAATCTGAAGGATCTACATCGTGAACAATGGTAGACACTGGACTGCAGGTCACAGCCTTATAAAAATGATTCACTAATTTGCTTAAATCTACCATAACATTTGCATGTCACATGATTACCTGAAATAGCCAATAGCATTTTCCTCCTTGCACCAAATGTTGTAATACCCAACTCTTTCAAGTCAATATCAGTTAATGTTAGGAAGGTTTGCAGATCAATCTAAAAAGAAACATGAAAAAAAAAAACATTTGAATATTATAGATTACAAGTTACTGCAACACGTGTTATAAAACCGCAATTAATTTTTTTTATGCATTTTCATGGACTGAACACTGCTATTTGGGATCCATCATATTAAATTTGTAAATCCTGTCTATGGTGGACTATATGCCGTCAACATTGTGATATCATTTTTGCACGCATGTGTCTGAAACACTATATACAGTACAGTTCTCGCGGAAGCTTTGGCTTTTGTGGCATCATTGTCGCATACGCATGGCTTCATTGTCGCCTCAGCATCGCATCGTTGTGGCATCAGCTTCGCGTCATTGAAAATTGAAGCTGTGTTCGCCTCTCTTATTTTGTGGCATCATCGTGGCCTCAGCTTCGCAGTCTCATGGCATCAACATGGCATCAGCTTCAAAGTATTGTGACATGCGTATGACCTCATTATTTTCACATGGAAAGGCAGTAGAGAAAAAACACATGTACAGAAGTTCGATAT